TAATGGCGGACGGTAAAAACGCTGGCTGGCGCGAGCAGGGAGATATCAGGTGTGACGTCGAGTGGTCACATGACATGAAAACCTTTTTTTTTTTTTTTTTCTTCTGGTCTGAAGTAAAAATATGATTGAAGTAAAAATGTTCTTTTAATTTGTTCTAGGGGGTTCATTATCTGCTTTAAGGCAAACTAGACAAAACAGGTTTGAAACAGAAAGCATGATTTTCACGTAGTCCAATGTAAAAATGCACTTCGAATAAACGACACGGCAGTTTCACAGTGAAACGTTTTCAAACTAAGAAACATGATTCAACTGAAATTAAGAATGTCAGTCAAAAGGATGTATGGATAATCGCTTCTGTCATTGGCTGACGTAGGCACGTTCAACTAACGTCTCTGCTGCCCGCCATTTTCTCTCTCTTTCACCACATCCAAATCTGTTCGGTAGTTTGGGATTGATTGAATACCTGCTGGAATCTGAGGTAACTAAGATAGCTAGCTTTAAGTGATTGCTAAAAGTTGGCACATAATTATTATATAATTATAATTTATATTATAATAAATGTTTAGCCTTTTATTTGCATTAATCACCAGAAGCAACCAGATGGACCTGCTCCTGTTCAGATGGCATTAATGTCGTTTTTGAACAGAAGTCCAGCTCAGCAAAACCTAGGAACCAGGAAGAAACTGGTGCCTGCTCCACAGTTTGTCATCCACTGGGCCGGCCCTGCACCGACATGAACTGTGGCAGTGCAGCTGGTGGTTATTTCCGTTTTCTTATTGAAGTCAGAGAGAATTATGCTGAGCATGTTCACTCACATGAGGAAAACTGTGCAACAGAAAAGCTATTGTTTCCAGTGTTTTATTCTCAAATAACACTGTGCTTGGATATTTTAATGTCACTGAAACTTATTATTATGAAGCCTAATCTGGTTCTTTCTCAGCCATTACATTTTCTGTTTTATCATGTTTTAAATTTAACATGAATTAAACAGGAGAGATTGCGACAGCACAACGGAAAAAAACATGGGGAAACTGAATAAACAGTAAGATAAGATTACTTTCTTGTAGCAGAAATTAAAAACAGGAACATAACCTCAAATTGAACTCTCATCTGCATGAGCTGTACAATACGCGCCCGGAGGTGTTTCATATCTCAGTGTGATGATTTAGGAGCTTTCTTGGAGTTTAAAGTTAAGCCTTGACTACATGAGTTTCGACATTATGATCTCGTTGTTTTTTCCAAATACAACAATATATAAATACAGAAGCAAGATTTGTGAGGAAACCAACCACCATGAAGTCAATCACCTGTATAGACTGTGTGCACAATTATTAGGCAAGTTGTATTCCTGAGGATTCATTTTATTTATTTCATTTGAACAAATACAATGTTCTCAGGCAATCAGATGTTAATAAACCTCAAACCTGAGTAATAACAGGGTGTCGATAATGTGACGTCAGACAGTGTGTGACGCGGTAAAACTATTTGCCCTCTCTCTCTTTCTTAATTAAATCTTTTATAAACTTTTAAACATTAATTAAAATAATAATAATAACAATAAAAAACATATTTAAAAAATTAATATAATACTTAAATAAAAAAAGTCTGCTCCAAACAGATAGCACAGCTGACTAAAAAAAAAAGAATATTTTAAAATTAAAAAAAAAAATATAATTAATTGTCATGGGGAAATGTAATTTTTCCTCCACCGCTCTCCCGCAAGCCACTGCCAGCGGTAGCCTCTCTCTCTCTCTCTCTCTAAAGTTCTCTCTCTCTCTCTCTACCTTCTTACTCTCCTCTACTCTTTGATCTCTCTCTTCAATTCAAATGGCTTTATTGGTGTGACGTAACACTGTAACTATTGCCAAAGCAAGCGTTTGGAATTAAAAATAATAATAATAACAATAAAGGAAAACAATATTTACAATAAATTAATTATAATCTATACTGTTGGTAATACTGTAACTATGATTGACTCAATCACAATCACAGTCACAATCAATCAATCTCAGTCAGTAAGCAATTAATTACAATCAATCAATCAGCCACCCAGCCACGCAGGGGGAGTGGGCTGACTCTTTACAGAGCAGTAAGAAGATTTTAATAGATTCAGCATTTTGAAAAATGTGTATAAAAATGTAAAACATCTCCACTATACAGCATGGGTTTCTTTAAGTAAGGGGATAACAGCAGCATATTAGCTACACATACAATTTCATGTAATTCTAATCCAAAACATTATTTGTGATTTTTTCATTTGGGATTCTCTGCTGCCATGTGCCAACATCAAGTCAAATCTAAGCTGAAGAAGAAGTTCCAGTGTGTGTTTGAGGGGATTGCTAAAGCAGGAAACCCAACCCGTCTGAACCAGATCTACACAGAGCTCTTCATCACAGAGGGAGGCACTGCAGAGGTCAATGATGAACATGAGGTCAGACAGATTGAAACAGCATCCAGGAAACCAGACAGACCAGAAACAACAATCAGAGCCTGTGAACTTTTTCCTGCACTGTGACTTATTGTTATAGTGTAAAAACGAGCTGTGTTGCTAATGGCGATAAGCCTAGCATACGGACAGCTGTGACTGTAAGCGAGGAGTGGGAAAGCTCTTGTTGACCACTGTGGAGACTGTTTCCCTCCTGCTTGTGTGCTGATGCTGTGGACTGTCGCTGCTGTTTCTTCTTTGCTCTGCCGGGTTTCCAGCAGCGCCTTTGCTCCTCTATCCCTCCGACCATTCCTTTCCTGAGTACTGATACACTTGCACGTGCCTTTTACTTTGATTGATTGTTTGAACAAGTAAAGCAGCCATTACAGTTTTTAGGCCTTCTGCAATTGTTTGGTTTACATTTTGGTTTATGTTGCAATGTGTGTGTGTGTGTGTGTGTGTGTGTGTGAGTGTGGGCCCACAATATAATGGTAATGTTCACATGTTAAAGATGCTATGAACTGAATATATTAGAGCCTGATTGAAGATTGAAAGATTAAAAGAAAAGAGTCTTTAAAGTATTTGGAGAATACCATTTTGTGTTTATTAATATGGGGTAGTATTTGTGTTATTGTGTTGTCATATTTTTATAATTTACCTTAAGTATTATTATTTTGTGTATTAATAATTGCTGGACTTGCTACCCCCGCGACCCGATCCCAGATAAGCAGATGAAGATGAGATGAGATTAATAAATGACTAAATGTTGTCATATTGCATTTAAAGCATTTGTGTATCCTAAATAAAACATAATTTTGGGTGTATGCTTTTTGAGTGAATACAGGTTATTTGGTATTTTAGTTGAAGAGTAAAAGGGAAATAAGGTCATAAGAGTTGTATTATTTTGTTGGTACAGGTAAAAGATTACTTAAATTTAAACCGTATCCAGGGCCCTGCCCATAGTACTATTACACAAAGCAGATCAATATAATCTACATAGCTACATGCGATGACTGTTAGATGTCTATATGTCTGGTTTAGGATACTTTACTTACGTTTTGTTAAAGGTAATCTTCACAGATGAACACCATTGAAGTGCAGATGCAGTCTGCAGTAAAAAGCTGACAGTAGGCTTAAAACAAACAACAGCACGGACACGTAACTTCAATGTCAACACCTTAAAACTTCCAACTTGTAATCAAATCATGTAATGAAAGTCTAAGAGTTTTAAAGTTTGAGTTTGAGTGGTTTGACATACTGATCTTATGTCTTATGTGTGATCTGACATCACCGTCAGGGCCCCTAGTTTCTGGAATAAATATATACACTATTTGTTGTTCAAGTAGGACATGGAGTCCAAAATATGAGCAGAAAATTAAACTTGACTAAAACTAAAAAACTAAAACTAAACTAAAACTACTAAACAACTAAAGTGGAAATTAAATATTAATAGTGCAAAACGTCGTGCGTGAACTAGGAGTGAAACCAGCTTTATGCTAGTTGCAGCTGGGAACAGTGCTGGTGTAATGTCATTGCAGCCATGGTCAAATGACCGTCAAACACTTTAATACTGGGTCTGCTGTACTGACGATGCTCTGGCTGCATCCGTGAATGACCAGGGGTGCCCATGATGGCTTTCAGCTTCCCATACGTGTCTGAGGTCTGCAACGGTGGAGTGGATAACGTTCCCATGACAACCGAGGGAAGACATGGCTTGTATCTCCACCGCCTTCCTGTCTTCTTGGTCCTCACCAACGTGCCTGCTCTGGTTCCTCTCCTTCGTCTCCTTAACTCGACCAGGGTCTCCCTCGGGCATGCGACACGTAAATCCCGATACCATAGGAAGTCCTCACGTGAATAACCTCCGGTGTTTTGTTGTGTGGTGGTTGTTGTGTCCACATTCCTACACATTGTTTATATTTAAAAAAACTAAATTCAACTACAGCTAAAAAAGTAAAAAAATTAACTACCAACACTGGAGGTCTGTTTACAACAATAAACACAGTGCTATTTAAGAAGGAATAAAGAAATAGTAAGATTGAAGGCGAAAAAATAAGAGGCGGAGCGGGAGCTGTTGCGTCGAGCTGCCACTCTCTGCGGCGCTTCTAGAATGTTTTATGTTAAGGTGTTTTTTTGTTTTTGTTTTTTATGTTTGTGTTTCCCATCTTGAATATTAATTAAACAAAATGACTGAACTGAACTGAGGCGCTGCAGTTGGACCCTTTTGGCTCTTCCACAGAGTCCGCCATGTTGAACCGCCATGTTTCTACGATAACTTCAAACGGACACACCAGACGCTGGCTCAATGAGGCGTCTCATGTTTTCTGTGAGATCTGCAGCCAGCATGATTTCTCCTCCACATTCGAAAAACTGAGCTGTATTTAGATGGTTGCAATCTGAAACTCCACCACTAGATGGACTGCACACTGGACTGTTTGTTTTCTTTTATTTTTACATGTTGACAAGCACGATACATTGGGCATACACTCATTTCTTTACATTTTTCCCGCCCTACCGCACTTAACAGAAGCAACACTCTCTCCAGAGCATAAAGGGAAAATAAAAAGAGGTCACATTTAGCAGTGCATACATGGCTTTATCAATCAGCAAGGTAAATACATACTAAATACAATATACTGACGTAAAGGGATTTACATTTTTAATATCTGAAATGGCATGTGAAGAGAAAAAGAGCACTATTCCTTATCCTGTTGTAAATACAAAATGACAAAAACTAATAGATGAAGATGAATATAGAAATAGATGGCAAAATTGGTGTAGAAGAGACATATTCATAGGAAATAAAATAAGCAATAAGCAATTCTAATATTTGAAATACCATAAAACTTCAGTTAAAAGCAGGGTTTCAATCAGACGCCTGGTCTGGATTATATAGAAGTTCTTTGGATGTATAAAAGCTCTTAAAGCCCACCGGGTCCATTGCTCACTGTCTGCTGACTTTCTCTTTTCCTGCACCGTGTTGTTGGGTGTGCTTGTTTTCATTACCTTGCTGACTACAAAATCTAAGATAGGCTACCAGTATTTTTCATATGCATGAGGTTGGCTTAGATGCACTTTCAGTCTCTCTCTCAGGATCAAATGAATTATTCGTAATGGGATATTCGATAGACTAATTATTATAAAAGTAATATATTAATGCTGGTTTAAATAAAGAATTTGATTTCCAGTCTTTAATGAGTTTTGTGCAAAAGGAATTAAATGCCTGTCCCATATAGAAGTCTGTGCTACATATAGGCATGTTGAGTTCAGCGACTGAAGCAAATAAAAGCTATTAATTGAAGTTTTATGGTATACACACTGCTGTTAAACTGCATGGTTGAACATCATAAATTGGCAAAGACTGCAGACGGGTATCAGGCGTTGTTTTAAGTCACCCTAGACTTTTAATTTTCTTAATCATGCGTGAGAAGAAGTTCCCTTTTCTGTCGGTAGTACCGTGGACAGATTCACAGCTCATCTCTTTTGCTTCATCTTTTTTTATTCCGCCCAGTATTTTTCTGACTTTGGATGGAATTCTGAAAAGAAATTTAGCCAATGTTCCCCGCTGTGAAAAAAGCAAAACAGATGTTAAAGTTTGCTTTCTTGCACATTACTTCAACTTCATATACATTTGGCATTACACATTAGAAATTTTTCTAAGCTAACTTTGTTAGATGGCAGATGTCTGTCCGTTATTCTCTGTATCTGAACAGTATAACCTATACATACATACCTGCAGTGATATCTTCAGGCCATAGCGCACGTAGGTAGCAAGGTGTTCACAGTTGTTGCCAAAGACGCCATATTCTCTACAGTTCTGAATGGTAAGGTTGATCCGCTTTATTATGTCTTCCTCGTTAGTGGCGTTTTTCATTTCGGGAATGCCATCAAGGTAATTGTCCACTCTCTCCTTCCATTTTCCTCTCGTTGTTTCAAGTTTATCAAACCTACAGTCAGTCTTCAGAGTGTACTCACCTGTTTGTGAGAATAAAACTTAATTAGAAATATTGTATATAGATCAAACACTTATTCCTGCTGTAGCTTATTTGCTCTTTTCTTATTTCCATTTGCATCAGAAATGGGTTTGTTTGTAACAGTACAGCATTTACAGCAGGCTGTGACTACACTGTAAAACCTGACAACACATCTTTATAAAAGAAGTAAATTAATTAAACTTAAATGGTTTAAGGCGATCGGTTTCCTCAAACAGTCACTACTGTACTGAACAAACTCATCAGGTTTTACAGTGCACAAGGAAGAGGAAGGAAGCGTTTCAGTGGCATCCCGCAACATCCCACCAGTTTGTGCTGTTCAACTGTGAGCTGTTAACAATATGCAGAGCATTAATATGTACATACTAAAAAAATACTGGGGGAAAATTGAAATTGAAATTGAAATTGATGTTTCTATTCAACACTTTACTAATGTGTTGTAATGTTTTTGAGTTTGAATATGTTCATTTGGGCACTTTACCAAGCAAATAATCTTATATAGGATTTCTCTATATGCGATTAAATCGGCAAATACTTCTGCCACCCTCTGGCCATCCCATCAGTATTTCTCTAGGTCCGCCTCTGCCTATGATGTTAGACAGACAGAAATACTGTGTTTAGATGTGCATACTTACATTATCAGTTTACTACACGTACCTGTGCGGTGAAATATGTCGTTGTCACCTTGCCCAATGTCTATCTCACTGCTTGGGCCCACATAAATAGCATAGTGCTTGTACACAGGCCGTGCTCCTTTCATGAAACATTTCTTTGGAAACACAATTATGTCTCCAAATTTGTACTGTAAACAGAAAAAAACATATTGTAGATACATTAGATCAACTTTTATATTCAGTGCAATAATCAGAGAGTCAATAATGAATGTAATTAATAGTTAATGCCAATTAATAAATTAGATAATTGACTAAAAACATTCAGTAATATTAATTTAATGTAATTGTGTGATCAATCATTTAAATCTGTTATAAAGTAAAAACACAAAACTTTAAATTATATTTTTTATATTTTATTTATATGTATTATTTAGTAAATTGAATCTCTTTGGAGTTTTCACTTGTTCACACAAAATATGCAATTTTAAGTTACTTACTTTCCCATCGATCTGTATTACTGTGATCGCCAGCAGAACGATCACAGCAACCAGGATTGGGTTTTTCATGTTTCTGGCAGTGGAGCGCTGACATGGTGAAAAGAACATGTGACAGTTAATCATGCCACCACGGCTGATGTGTGTTAGCAACAGCCTTATAAATGACCAGACATGAACATGTTAACCCCAGTTTTAAAGCAACTGTCTGTAAGTATTGTAGTACACCACCCCACCCTCAAAATATCAAGTCATATCATCTTCATCATCATAAGTATGCAGCCATTCCAAGTCAAGGAGAAGTGTATGTTTGAGGAATTGTGCATATTGTAGTAGTGCACCAGGGGTTCGCATCAAGCTCCCATCTGAAATGAAACAATGAGCATTTCTAACATTTCAAGAATTGCAAAAAAACAAAGGGTCTTACCAAAATGTTGTGAAGAGAGCCTTGAATGGAGGGTTGAAAGGATCGGGACCAGAGAGTGTCGTCTGTCTTTCAATTGACCAAAATGATGAAATGAAAGTACTTTGAGATGGTAGAGAATAAAAAGACTAAACTCGACTCCTCCTTTTATACAATGTCTTAAATAAATGTATTTAAAGTCAAGGCATCTTCTTTGACATATATGGTCAAAAACTCAACAGAACAGTTATTCATTGGTCACAGAGCACACACGCCTAGCTGACGCAAGCAAAATATAAGTTTGCTTCTTAAACAGTTTCACAATCAAAACTTTTTTTTTAATATCACATATGCATTTAGCGGTTATAGCATTTTTGATCAAGATAAGCAGGTGGAACTCAATGTCTGTTTCACACCATACTCCTCCCTTCTTGCTGTTGCTCAAGAATGAGACAGCTACATTTCTGAGCGTCTCAGTTTTTGGGTAAGTGCCTCTTTTTGCTAATGGCTAAATGCACTCTTGACCTCCGACCTCTCCCAACACAAGCATCCAACGCTCGCGACCTGCGTGCTTTCTTTCAATCTAGTTTCTGTTTCCGTAGTTATCTCACAGGAGAGTGTTCCCACCTGCTACAGGGCAGCCACCGTTACCTGTACCTAAAAAGTCAGCAGTATGTAGTCTAAACGACAACCACGCTATGGCACTAACCCCCATTCTGATGAGGTGCTTTGGTTCTCCTGCTGGCCTGGACCCTAGGAATCCAGCACTCTGGGTCTGACTGCCACACTCTGCAACTGCATATTGGAGTTTCTTACAAACAGACCCCGGACTAGTCACACTCTAGTGCTCAAACGTGGAGCCCCTCAGGGCTGTGTGCTCAGCCCCCTCCTGTTCACATTGTACTCCCAGGACTGCATCCCCTGGCATAGAAACAACTCTGTTGAGAAGTTTGCAGATAACACCACCATCATCAAAATATTTGCCTACACATATCAGGTTCACATGTGATTTTCTTTCAGAATTGTACCCCTAATAATTAAATTGCTTCTGCTTGTGAGGTTGGTTGCACCTTGTTAGTTTAGGCCTCAGCCTATTTGGGTGGCGTCTATGTTCCTCTTTCTCTTCTCTTCCTCTTCCTCCCAGGCCTCCACCATCTGGCTGGAGGTTAGGTTGGTTTTGTGTTTTGTTTGCACACATCACACATACTTCCTTCATCTTCACCCTGCATTTATAACTATGTGATTGCTGCAGACAATGTTTTTGCAATAATCTTTCATCATTTTAATATCTTAAGTCATCTGGATCTTATCTTCTGCTCAAAATATTTTTCACAATCTTGCCTGGATGATTATTGCCACCCTGAACTTAGAATTACTAATTCTAATTAATTATTAGAAGTAAATACCCATACCTCCAATCTTTTATCTCATACCGGTCATACACTAGTACTGTATTAGAGATAGTCATTGGAGAATTCCTCAGGATTCCTTGTTTCAGAGGTCTTAACTTTGGTGGAAGTATGTTGGTGCAGATGAAGGTTTCTCCTTATATACACTAAAGAATACACCAGAACATATATTTGTCCAGCTCAATACTTACAGCAAAAGGATAACAGTTATCAAATACATTTAAACAGTAAAGTGCAGTATGTGTTGGTAGAAAATTGACTTTTAGATGGGCTTGGAGTGAGATTTTGTCGGGGGTGACCAAAATTATGCCGCGCACGCAGCCACAGGAGTTGGTGGCTCAGATATCAGAGAATTGGAATTCATTTGATGTTGTACCCATGTTGTACCCTGCATTCTGGTGGTTTTTGGGGAGGCCCAAAGCCGTTGATAGGGGCAGCCTACTGGAGATGGACAATATTGGTTACATTCTGAGAAGCAGACATAGCTGAAGGTCCACCCCCAGGAAATTTTGGATTAAGTAGATGTGATTTCCTGCATTCTAGTGGATTTTTGGGTGGTCTGCTAAAGATGTGCAATACCTGAACTTATTGTGATTCATGTTCGGCATCATGACTTGTAGGGCCTTCTAGACTTGAGCTGAACATTCAACCAGAAAACTATTGTTGGGCCTAAATGACTGCCTGTATCACAATAAAGCCTTATTCATAGACCAGTGTTTAAGATTGGACCTAGGTACCTGTAGGTTGATTGGTATTTTGATTAGAATGGTATTAAACTAAGACAGGAAATCAAAGCTAGTAAATCCTAAGTTATCACAAAACTGACAAGCTAAAGGCTGAGATGAAATACCACTGAGGGTGACTGACGATGTGGCGATGAATGGGTGAGAGTTGGAGAGTTGATATGCTGCGGGGTTGACTGGCTTCGGGTGTGCTTCAGCAGGTGTAGAGAATCGGGACCAGAGGAGAGAGTGATGCCACGCTCACCACACAGATACACAGAGAGAGACAGGGAGTGACAGGAAACACAGGAAGTGAACCGGAAGTTGTTCTGGTCCTCCATCTTGCAGGCCGCCCCAAAGCGCTTATTTCTGCAGCGAGGATCGAGGATACACAAGAGTGGCCTTCTTGGAAGTCTTTTACTGACCGAAGCGCCCTTTTATTGGATATAAGTTATTGATTGGACGCTGAAATTGCTCTTTGATATGATCATATTAAAGTCAGAGGCAGAAGAGAGTCTGTCTGTCAGCAAGAAACACTTTTAAATGTTTTCCAGTGTTCAAAAGGCACCACGACCATATTCTGGGTTGTTCTGTGGTGGAAGTTTGACCGAATAAAGGAAAAACCAAACAAAGAGAAATTTGTCTTTGTATATTTATTCAAAGCTTCTGCGCAGAAGGATCGACATCAACAAGTAACAGTCAGTGTCTCCCGATGAGTCGATGAAGACTGCATTAATACCAGGGTTTTTATATGCAGAAGAACAAAGAGTTGTGATGTTTCATAAAGAGATAGATGTCAGGGACAAATAAGGAGGCATTCCCAAGTGAGGGCCCTCCCTTCTCAGACCAAAGAAAAAGGAAAAAGTTTAGATGTTCAAGCCAGGCTATAAATGTGTCTGTCCTTGTATGCAGGTGGTTATCATGTAGTTTATCAGACATGTGTAGGTCGGGCTATCTTTAAGCCTGTCATGTATTACATGAAGCAAATGTGGTTTGTCCTTGTATTAAGACAGCAAGTTAATTTGCAGTGCAGCGGAAACAGCCTTCTACAGAGTGGTGTAACACAAAGAATCACAGTTAACACAAAGGTTATATACTGAAAAATAATAATATATATTTTTTTCCTCTACAGTTCAATAATGAGTTTACAATCACAATATCAATAAATACAGATGCACATAATGAACAAATATAAACACATTCAGCCAGTAGAAATGATTCCTGTGCTGCTTATGTGGAGCAGTGAGAGGTAACAGGTGGTTCCTGTATTTATTCTGTGTTGTATTGATGCAGCCTTTAAGTGTTTTCTTAATTTAATAATGAGAGAGGATGCTTTCAGGCAGTAGTGTCACTGCATGAACCCGGACTGTGTGTGGGAACTTCTGGAGGTGTAAAATAATGCAACAAATAACATTCATTAACATTAGATCCTGAAATTGAAATAATCAATGAAGCTGCTGGGCCTCATGCGTAAATGCACACGCAGCATTAAAGATCCAGTGTGTGGGATTTATTGGCATTTGATTGATTTAGCTTGATTTTATTTATGGATTATCAGACACAGGAAATAAAGCGGTGTAGTTGCAGATTGCAACTCACTCGTTTCACCCTCCTTTTCCAAGCATGAGGAAGAAACTACAAAGACACAAATGTCCTCATCTAGAGCCGGTGTTTCATTGCTTCAAATAGATCCTCCTAAATGTTACACACTAGACCTTTAATAGCTAGTAACAAACCCATGAGTATCAAATATATATATACAGCAGTATATTCTCTTATTATCTCCTTTGTAAAATAAGACCATCTAAATAAAGTCACACAGAGAGCACTACCCACCACAAGTTGTGCAGTTCAGTTCCTCCAGGACATTGCAACGTTGCAACAATTAATGCAAATTAAACCAGTCTTTTTAATCTGCACAACCGTGCAATTTTGTCCAATAACCACACAATAACAACACCTGCAATCATTGTAGTTTCCCGAGAGCTTCACTAGTCAAAGCAATTCCCACATAAAATGTTGAGCCATACATGACGGACTATGATGATACAAAAAAAGTGCAACTAAGTTTGTAATTTTCACTTTCTCCCACAATTTCAGTGCAAATAAAAAAGGCTGAAATCATTGCAACATGCATTGCAAGCCTTTAGAATTTTCAGCAGGGAAATCAGGCATTTTAGGCCGCACCAATACCCCCAAAACAGTGGTCTGATCCCACGTTTGGATGTCATCAGTTAGTGTACAAGGAGAGATGGAGGACAATAAAACACACACAGTTCTTGCTCATTCATTTTTTTATTATTTCAAATAAGACCTCATGTCATGAGGAAAGAACAGAGAGCAAGACAGGCTGTAGAGACCAGCTGCTAAAATACTTGTTAGCTGTGAACCTTTTTTTGTTTATTTGGTTTTTTTTTTTGCCTTTGTTTGTTGTTTTGTTTTCTGTGTTTGCTGTTCTCTTTTTCCATTTTTTTTACCTTGTTTTATACAATTGGCTTCGTAAATCCTGCTAAGGGTTACTTGGTCCAGTATGTTTTTAGCTGGTCCAGCTTCAAAACATTTAGTCCGATCATCATGCTGTGAAAAAAACAAAACACATGCAGTTGAATTTTGCCTTCATGCAAATATCACATACACACACACACACACACACACACACACACACACACACACACACACACACACACACACACACACACAGAAAACATTAGACATTTAGAGGACCTGTTTGTAGGCTTTAGTGGCATCTAGTGGTGAACTGAACTTTTATTACATTTCTACCTATAGATCCTCCGAAATGTTACCCACTGGACCTTTGAGCATTGTATGGAAATATAGTTTTTAATGATGAGCCCTTGATGAAAATTGTAGGTAAACACAGTTATGGGCCACTGTTGAATCTGCCTACCTGCAGTGACATCGTGCCATAGCGCACATAGGTGGTAAGGTGTGCACAGATGTTTTCAAAAGTTTCACAGTGTTTAGTGGCGTTGGAGATTCGCTCAGTTATGTCTTCCTGGGTTCCTGGATTGAAGCCTTCAATCCCATCAAGGTAGTTTTTCTTTGATGTTACTACAATTCCCCTAAGAGACTTAAATTTGCCAAATACACAGTCTGGTTTCTCAAAACCTGTTGGTGAGAGTAAATCTTTTAGAAACTTTATATATAAACTTCACACAAAATCTGTTACTTGCTCCTGCTGTATTTGATCTGACAATGGGTTTCTGTTTCTTCTGCACAAACAGGCTGCTGTAACTGTACAACACTTACAGCAGCCTGAAACTACAAAGAAGAGAAAGGAATGGTTTCACAGCACAACACAGCTACCAGTTAGTTATCTAAAGTTAAACATTTACACTGACACGTCTATCTGTGCACGGAATGAAAGAACTTGGCTGCCATTTTGGGATCTAGTTTGCCATCTTATCAGCAGGTGACCTGTTATTTCTCGTCCGATGAGTCCGAATATTTGTTATCCAAATGTTATAGCACTTGAGACATGCAAAGAGACTCTGTTAAAGACGACAAACAAGTGTATTTCCTATGATCAGGATGTGTTACAGAGCAGATATGAACACATAATTTAATTATGTCTTATGGCAACTTTTTAGACTGTAAGTGTTAAGGTCTTAAGTTCAGTAAAAAAAAACTAATCAATGTACTGATTTCTAATGCCCCCTTTAGAGATTATTATTCAATACTTTGTTAATGTGCCACTATGATGTAATGTTTTTGAGTTAAAATATCTTCATTTGAATTAAAATCAAATTAAATATTTAGATACAGATAAAGTTTTATGGTAAATAATGTCCTGATGTCCTCATATGAGGATGATCATTTTTTGTGAAAACTACTAATTGTTCAAAGACAATGCTTGGTTTTTATGTTTATCAGGTCCTACTAATCCCAAATAGCTAGGAGAAATTAAAAATGCACACCAAACAAAAGCTTGGGTCTCAGGAGGCTAGAATATGATGTCAGGCAGATTCTCTTACATTAACACTAAAACTGTGGTCAGAGTTTTAAATATGCATAATTTCATTTTTATTGTATTTACCTGAGTTGTGAAATATATCATTATCACCTTGGCCGACGTCTATCCCTGTGCTTGGACCTACATATATACCATAGTGCGAGTACGGAAACCTCAGGGTCTTGGGGGTGGGGGCGGGACAAGGGTGTCCAAATGAAATTATGTCTCCAAATTTGTACTGTGAAAAGATGAAATCAGATGAATTAGATCAACTTTTACATTCAGTACAAAGTACAACACAATACTCAGATTGACTAAATAATGAATGTGGATAGGTGATACTAAAGGATGAAACTTCTTATACTCCACTAAGGTATAGTAGATATTCATAATAAGACTTCTTTGGTTGTGGATCCCTTACTTTTAATCATCGATCAAGGTCTCTTAAGTTGGTCTATAGTGTCCTGTAAGGGCTGCGGTACAAAGAGCACAGGCCTTGAAATGTGCTGTGAGGACTGTACACTATAGCAGTGGCTGTGATAAATATATTAAATGAAGCAATATGCATTATTCACAATTGGGTAGTTTTAGCCGATATATTTATATATATAGGATAGTGTTTGTCACCATTTTCATCACCTTCCTTGTTCTTGTTATCATTAATGTGCTACTAAAGTCCCCTTACTATTGTTATTATACTGTAGATATTAGAGATACTAATGTATTTGTTTATTAAAATAACAAATAAAAGTGGCGTTAGTTTTGGGACTACAAATTGTAAACAGTGTTGGTGAAAAAGTATTTTCTCATCAAGCTACTTTTCAGACACTCCAAAGCTGGCCAAGAGATATTTACAATCAAAAAGTTATCTATAATAAAATAAATTCTCTCTTTCCTGTATTCTCAATGATCACCTTAACTGCACCTACGCACAAAAACTACACATTCAAGGTTGAGCAGCAAAATATATTTTTTAAAAGGGTATTAAAGCAACTTACCTCCTTACTAATGTCTTTTTGTGTGATCACTAGCTGAAGCATAACAGCAGCCAAGATAAGGTTTTTCATCTTTCAGCCACAGGGAGCTGACATAGTGAAATCAAGAGAAAATGTAACACTTAATTAAAAATTAATGTTAAGCATTTTGAAAGAGAGAGACCTCACACGTGAGACAAAAGCATCTTTGTCTTTCAACAACATTTAAAGTGACATTTTGTATTTTATTTTCTGTCAGTATCAAGGCATTTAAAGCAGCACCCTGATGTTGGAATTCAAACCAAGCAAATACCTTCCAAAATTATATATATATATATATATATATATATATATATATATATATATATACCCGTCTTACAAAAGTATTTCCTCAGTGATCGTCACTGGAGAAATCTTTGTAGAAATGAATGTTTCAGAGGTCTTACCTTCTTCTGTGAGACCGGGGAAGCTTGTTGGTGCAGGTGGAATGGGTTCTCCTTATACCTCATATCTTTGTCCTGCCCACTGGGAGCTGTTAGTTATTAAATACATTTACATAGGCCTATGCAGTATATGCCATATGTTTGTTTAAATGCACTCTGTAGCAGAGGATCTGCTCCCCCTGTGGATAAAAACGGCTAATTCTAAAGTAACAAAAACAAAATAATTCCTTTTTTCAGGTTTTTCTCACATTTATACAGGTCATATCATATGAAACTAGATGACATAATGCATGCATTGGTACCACCATATATCATATCATGCTAGCAAGTCAGTAAGGGGGCTAAATAACACTCCAAAGTTAGGCAAGATCTTGAAAATGGAACAATTGAAATGGCCATTTTCAAAGTTTTGGGAAAAAAACATGTATTTTTTTGCTGTTGATGTAAATGTGTTATTTTCGCCTGGTATTTTTTTTTATATTTCAGCATACTGGGGTCCATAAACTCCCCTGCATAAGTCAGCGCCCCACTTGTGCCGCCCCAGTCAAAAAGTTTAAAAAACAGCCCTGCAGGTCAATGACACGAGTCTGTGGTGAAGACAATGTTCTCCATTAAAGAGCAGAGAACATGAAAGGTGTATATACGTACATAATGTGCTGCAACTTTAAAAACACACACCCACATACCAACACTAACCTCATTGTTAGCTGCTTTTAAATGGTGTTAAAGTTGGAGCACATTTCCTGCAGCCTGGTTGCAGCTGAAAACAAAAAACAACAGAATTCAAATGTTCATTCTAAGGACACCACACAACTCAGTTATAGCCGGCAGACATTTGATTGGCCCCTGTTGATATGTTAGGGATCTTAAAAACTGAAAAGACAAATGTAGGCTTCTTTTTAGAGAACAGTTAAAAGATAAGGCACTGCTTTGTGTTAACTGCTCATTGCTATAGAGTTCACTGTAATAAAACTGTAGAAAAGCCTTGGACATATATTGACACACTGCTCAGATAAAAAATGTGGTTATTTTAGTATTCAAATGAGAACGTTAGACGTGGAGAGTGCTGACGCGGCTCTGTTCTAATGTAGCTGGCCAACAAGAGTCCAACATGGCTGCGGGATTCAGATTAGTTACATTTTAACAACAGTGGAAGAAGTAAGCTACTCAGATATTTCACTGAAGTAAAAAAAAGCAATACCACGTTGAAAAAATACTCTATTATGAGTAAGTCCTTCATTTTTAATCTTAAGTGAAACATTTTTTAATATTAGCAACAAAATAGTATCAAAAGTAATTATTTTGCAAAAAGTGTTATTATTATTATTATTATTAAGTGTTTTCCTGATTAATTGCTACCAAAGCAGAATTTGAATCTCGGCATGGTGGAGATCATTTTAACAACTGGACTAGAGCTAATGTGCTAACTTCTTTATACTGAACAATTTAGAGTTACTGAGTAAAACACTGACACATTTGTCTAACTGCATTATAAACCAGAAGCTCATTTGAGTAGTTAATACTATGCTTGGATTTTGCAGAAAATCAGGGAGGGGGAAGGTCTCGTGTCTTAAGTTACGTTACAACCCGTTCACACATGTGCAATAAAAAGTGATTCATACTTTAAAAGTATACATAAATGCTTCAGAATCTTACATATGGCACCTTAAAGTGAGCGTAAAAGCACTGGGAGGAGAGAGCCAAACTTTATCTGTTTTCAACTCTAACCACCGGGTCAAGAAGACTTCATGTCATGGTTTTGAGTTTTAGTTTAGTTATTTTCTGTTTTATGTTGAAAGAGTCCCTCCCCATGTGTTTTATGTAACTTCTCTTTCTGTCTTTGTCTGTTTTCGGCTGTCTGCCCCACCCAGATTATTTTCACCTGTGTCTAGTTATCCTCCCCCTCACCAGTGTGTGTGCTCCTTTGTCTCAGTTCGTTGTTGTCAGTCTGTGTCAGGCCTTCCAGTCCTTTGCTGAGCATAACTAAGCATAACAGGACAGAACAATAACACTCTACAGCTGCAAGCGCACCTGCTTGCTGAGAAGGTGCCGTGCACAGAAGCTGTGTGAGGAGGGGAGGGGGGAGGGGGGAGGGGGACAATTCACCTCTGGGTCTCCCTCGACTTTCTTCCAAATAACGCACATTTCATTCATAATATAATAAACACAGGCCTATAATACATTATTATACATTATATATATATAATAAATACAGGCCTATAGTTCATGCACATTTTTGTTTTTCTGAATTGTGTGAAATGGCTAACAAAAATAGGTAATACAAAACGATTATGTGGTCACCAAGGTGATTTTGTGATATTTAAAATATTTATTCTATATATTATTTGTAATATTATATATTATTGTTGCTCTCTGCTCTTGTTACTTTTTATATATCTGGTTGTATATATTTTGGCACATTTATGTATATAGTGTATATGTGTGGATGTCCTTGTGGTTCTCTAAGTTCTGATAACTTATAGTGTCATATTTTGTGCAGAACTGTGTTCATTGTCTTTTGGCAATGTTGGAGGTGGAGATCTTAAAAAGTGTGTTTCCTGTTCCAAGTGCAATAGTTAAATCCAATTGTTCTGATGAAGGATTTCTCTGCTTCACTTATGTTGTAATGAAACATAACAGTTTGTGCAGAGTTTTGTGGGGTTTTCTTTATTGCGGGGGGGGTCTCGCCCAAGGTATCATTCAATCATTCAAGATAATAGAACCGCCACTGGTTCTACCTGTGATAAATGCGAAAGACCACACTAATAAAGACGTTCAAGCACAAACCATACCATTAAAGTGAATGAACTCCCACCAAAAGCCTATACTTAAAACCCATAATGGTTCAAATCAATTAGAATACAGACTAAGAAACTAAAACTAAGACTAAAACACAGAATGTTAAAAATAATAAATAAAATAATAATAATAATAAAAAAAATAACAATGTTAATAAAGTAAACAGATACTCTACAAGGTTCTAATCATTTACAAAGCTAAATTAATAATTAAACACCCAGCACCTGCTGACATTATTAGTTTCAGTCTTTCTACCTACAATAAAAGTTATGGCAGACCCACAATGATAAGAATAAAAATACATTACCTCAGGGTACTTGAAGTCCTACAGCATCTAAACATTACAAATACTGACATTAATATAAAACAGCTATTAATGAGAACCACCGCTGTTACTGGCGCACAGTGAGCCTGCTGCTTACTCTCCTCTGCTACAGTAAGTACAGAAACAGCCAGATAAAACTACAGAGGAAACACAAAGAGTTAAAACTGAAGCTAGTCTGTAAAGGAAATAACTCTTATTATCATTATTATTATTTCTGTTATTAAAAACTGAGAGGGTTTACCTTATTACTTAATAATTGTGACTGTACATCACCCTAAACGCCGTTTACTTTCACCAGAAGACGAATCCTCTTCAATGTGTATTTCAATATAATTTCAATATTATTTCAATATTATTTCAATAATATTATTTGTATAAGAACTGAAATGACGTGTCATTTCCTCGTTGTGTAGTGACTTTGGCTTCCTCTCTGCCGTCGGATTCAGACTGTACCAGCGCAGTAAAGGTAGTGTAACAAACGTGTAACAGTGTTTCATACTTGGATGTTTCGGTGTTATGATATTTGTAATGTTACTGGTGCTGTACCGGGTCCGTTAAATGACGTTAATAACACGGTGAAACCTCTCAGTCGGTCTCAGTAGAACTGCGTTACCCGGGCCGAGCTCAGCCGAACTGTTCAACTATGATACTGTGTGGTCATTTAGTGTGTTTGCGTAATGTTTCCTTTATTGTAGTGTATTTAACATCTGTACAAGAAACTGATCAAACCAGGGTAATTGTAGAAGGAATGACTATCAGGTTCATCTTTGTTACATAATCCTCTTCAGGAGGAAGATTCTCATTCTCATTTCATATGAAATGAAATTCAAATGATAATAAAAAGCTGATATGTTGACACAGTAAGTGAGTCCTGTGTCACACTGATGTGGGTCTGTAGCTGTTATTAGTGAGTGAACTGGACCAGCTGATAAAAGCAGAGTCAGCATTCAGCATTACAGAGGGTTGGAGCACTCTGGCAGGGGAAACTTATACCGTATGTCTGAATGTGAGGAGAAGAGAACACTGAGCATGTTGGAAAGAGATAAAGTCTATGTCTAAGATAAAGTCTCAGATAAAGCATGATGAATAAAGAGGAAGTGGGTAGCAGCAGCTGGTCAGCAGTCATGAGACCAGTTTACAGTGATCCATCCAGCAGATGGCAGTCATTTGACCACATAGGTGGAAGCTTTTGTATTACAGGAAGAAGACTATCCTCTTCCTTTAGCTAGAGCTCCACCCTCAGTATGGAGCTCCACTTGCTGGAAAAGGTGGAGCTAATCCACTGGGACTTTCCACCACATAATGATGCAGTCGTTTGCTGACATGCTGATGTTATTTCATGGTAAAATTAATTATTTTATGGCAAATGATTTATTGTAGGGAACAAGGGAAGAATGAATTATATTTGTTGTTGATTGTTTTGAGTGAAATCTGAATGAGTAATACTTTTCATCAACTTTATCTTTCAAGGAAACAAACTGAAGGACAACTGAAGTCAATGAAAAACAGCAATAGCTGAAGGTAACCACAATATTTTGTATTTAAAACCTATAATCAGTTCAATTCTTCATTGATTCTCAACCAGTTTTATGTGTTGAAAGTAAGCCTTTAAAAGTTTTCAGCGTCAATGCAACGTTTTATGATCTGTGTATAATAGAGTTTGTACAGTTTAGAAACAGACCCAGCTAGTTTGACAACTTGCCTTCATCTATTAAAAGGAACTGAAAAGCTCAGAGGTAAACATTACCAATGAAGTGGGCAACTTTTCAACTTGGAACCGGTTCTCAGGTTCTTGATTTCTATCTCTTGTAAACATAAGCAGTTTTCTCATATGATCTCAGAATAACTAGAGAATCAGGTCTGTACATTGTTCAGCATTGCCCTTTCAAGCATGTAGCATACAACAGGAGATTGTTTGTGTCAGACAATTAGGCGAGGTGTGTTGCCTGGATACGGTGTGCATGAGCAGGAGGAAGAATATGGACATATACTCGGTACAACGTCATAAGCATCACCAACACACATACTCACTCACTGTGAATTCTTCACCTGCTCCAGTCACACAGGGGCTCAGTTGGACATTACACAGACTTATATTTGTTTGTGTACTCCAGTAGCATTACATGACATGGTTGAGTTACGTTTGATTAAAATTCAGTTTAATATCATATCAATAATCATAAGATGAACTTATAAAAGTCCCCTGAAGAAGTAATTGAGGACTGTTTGTGCCTCACATTAAAAGCCCCCCTGAGGTTGTATTTGAGGAATGTTAGCACTTGTTAATTTTGAAAGAGCAAATTTCATCACTCCTTCTGTAAGTCAGGGACAGACTTTCCTATTTATACAGTTGGCTTGCAAAAATTAGATTAGATTAGATAGATACCTTATTGCAAATTGTAAAGCAGTTTGGATAAAAGTAATATATGAACTGCAGTCCATTTACTACAGAATTATAATTATTATTAGATTTTTTTTAATGTAATGTCACAAACCTTTAAAACCTTGTAATGAAGTAGTCCAGCTAACACAGCATGTTGGGTGTGTTTGTGTGAAGGTGTACATTCTACCATGAGTCAACCTCAGGAGGAAGATGAGGGAGTCCCTCCCTCCATCCCCACTCTGTCTGAGGA